CCCAGGTATTGGTAGAGACATGGATTTCCAGATTCAAGAGGCTCAGAGATCCCCAAGCAGATTCAATCCAAAAGGTCCTCTCCTAGGCATACTGTAGTCAAACTGGCAAAAGTCAAAGACAAAGAGAGAATCCTTAAACAGCAAGAGAAAAATGTCCGATCACCTGGAAGGGAGTCCCCATCAGACTAACAGCAGATTTCTCAGCAGAAACCCTACAGGCCAGAAGAGAATGGCGCAACATATTTAAAGTGCTAAAAGAAAAAAACTGTCAACCAGGAATACTATACTCAGCGAGGCTATCCTTCAGATATGAAAGAGAAATTGTGCATTTCCCAGACAGACAATAACTATGGGAATTCAGTGTCACAACACCAGCTCTACAAGAAACCTTCAAGGGAGGCCTGCATTTGGAATCCAAAAATAAATAAATAAATAAATAATCACCACCGTGAATACATGTGGAAGAACAAATCCCACTGGTAGTGCTCACAGGCAAACAAGAAAGAGAAAAAAAACTATACTGTATCACCTCAAAAAACCAATGGACTCCAAAGACAAACAGCAACAGGGAAAGAAAGGATTAAAAACTTAACCAAAACTTAACCACATGAAAGCAATTAGTTGATTTTGTATATATTTTTTTCTATTTCAAGGATTTCTGCATTCTCTATATATTTCCTTCCACCTTTCTTTGGATGGATTTCAATTCTTTTTCTAGCTTCTTGAGTATAAGCTTACATGTGTTTCACCCTTTGCTCTCTTCTAGAAAATAAGCTTACATGTGTTTCGCCCTTTGCTCTCTTCTAGTATATGCCTATAATGTTGGATATTTTGATCTAAGTATTTCTTTAGTTACTTTCCACTCATTCTGATGTGTCATATACTACAGTTTGAATGTCTCCTCCAAATCTTACGTTGAAACTCAGTCCCCACTGTAACAGTATTAAGAGGGTGGGATAGTCAACGATCCTATTGGAAATGCGGGACCTTGAAGAGGGGGTGGATCATGAGGACTATGCCCTGATGAAATGATTGATCCATTCTGAATTAATGGATTAATGATAATCATGAAAGTAAACTGGTGGCTTTGTAAGGACAGGAAGAGAACACACTCTCCCCCTCTTGCCATGTGATGCTCTGAGCCGCCTCAGGACTCTCTGCAGAGAGTGTCCACCAGGAAGAAGACCCTCACTAGATGCACTCCCTCCACCTCGGGATTTCCCAGCCTTCAGGTCTGTAAGAAATAAATGTTGTTTCTTTATAAATTCCCAGTTTCCTGTATTCTTCTATAAGCAACAGAAAACATGCTAAGACATATCTTCATAATCATTCAGACCTTCATATTTCCTAATTTCTGTAGTTGTCTAGAAACACAGTCCTTAATATCCAAGCACTTGAGAGCTTCCTAGTTCATAATGATTTCTAATTTAATTGCACTGAAATAGAGAAGGAACTCCAAATACAGTAGCTTCAATCATTTGAACTTTCTTCATGCTTGCGGTATGTCATGACGTTCATTTTGCAAATGTCGGTATTGTAAATATCATATGTGCCCTTGAAACGAATGGGAATTTGGCCATTTCTGGCTCTGATGTTATGTGAAGAAGTAGAATTAAAAGATATTGAGAATCTTCCCGTGGACTTTTTGAAGAACTTTCATATGTTTAATTATCATCTATGGCTGCTACAAAGGCAGAGCTGGGTAGTTTAGACAGAGACTAGATGGCCTACAAAGCTGCAACCATTCAATGTCTGGTCAGAAAAAGCTGACTGAACCTTTGTCTGTAGCTATAATAAGTTTGTCACTTTGCTACAGCATCTAGAAATCTTGGAGAGAGGTGGATTAGTGACAGCTATTTAATTGTGGGTTTCCTACATTTTCTGAGTTCTGTGATTTTTTTTTTCTGTATCATTTTTATCCTAAGTTGCTATGATTTAATAATACCTTTCTGGTAGATTTATACCTTAATATCCAAAAAAAAATACTGCATTTCACATAAGTCATGCACTTGTCTTAATTTTTACTTTGCCTGAGTGTCCCGTATAAGAGTTTTCTTTGGACAGTGTTTACGTATACCACTTTCTATATTTTATTTCTAAAATTTTTGTGTTCCTTTCTTAAGTATATCTCTAGTAAACAGAATACATTATTTTTTATTTACTCTGAAAGTCTTAGGCTGCTAACCATAGCCATTAATGGTGTGCTCGTTTTTTTTAACTTCTTTTCCATTAAATATTTTATTTCTAGATAACTGTATATTCAAGCACAGTTGTTAAGAAATAATACAGAAATTCTGTGTACGGTTCATTCAGTTACTCCCTAAGGTAACTTCTTGGAAAACTATAGTACAAGGTCACAACTAGGGCATGGACATGGAAAACAGTCAGAATACAGAACAGTTTTATCACCACAAGTACCCTCATATGGACACACACGCCTCTTTCGCAAGCAAATGCCCTGTCCTTGATTCTCTGCAAAACTAAGTTGGTGTCCATTTCTGTAAATTTGTCATTTCCACAATATTGTAATAATGGAACCATGTGGTATGCCACCTTTGGGGATTGCCTTTTTCACCTAGCACAAGCCCCTGGACATTCCTTCCAGTTGTCGTGCATGCCGACAGGTTCCATAACAGTGCTGAGCAGTATTTCAAGGTGTGGATACACCATGATCTCTGTAACCCTTCACCCACTGAAGATTATCAGGAATGTCTCCAGTTTCGGTGGATTACAAATAAAACTTCTAGGAATATGCATGCACATGATACTATGTGGACACGGTTTTTAGTTCTCCAGGAAGAGCACCGGACCGTGTGAATCTGGGATGTGTGGCAGCCACGTCTGCAGAGTTTGGAGAAGTGGCCACAGCCTTTCCACACTGGCCGCGTCACTTTTCATTCCCACCAGCACTGAGTGGGCAGGCTGGTCCCAAGCACCTCACCAGCACCTGCTGTCATCACTGTTTTTGTTTTTGGTCACTGTGATTAGTCTATCTAACTGTGGTTTTAATTTGTACGTCCCTAACTGCTAAAGATGTCGAAAATTTATTCACGTGCTTATGCTTATTTGCTGTCTGCGAATCTACCTCAGTGAAACGTCTCTTCATGTCTTCTTCCCATTTTCTAATGAGATTCATTGCATGTTGACCGCTGAATTTTGAGAGTTCTTCATGTGTTCAAGATGTTAGTTCCCTGTTGAATATGTAGCTTTCACGTATTTTCTCGTGCTCCACAGCCGTCTTTTCAGGCTCTTAACAGGGTCATTCACAGAAAACAACACTTTAGACTGATGAAGGTCCAGTGTCACCAACTTTGCTTTTTTATGGAGCGTGCTTTGGTATCAAGTCTCAGACTCGTTGCCAAGCTCCGGATGCTAAATATTTTCTCTCTTTTTTATTTTATTTTTTTATTTTTAGAGATTTACCGTTTCCCCTTAAGCACTTGATCCTTTTTGAGTTAGTTTTTTTATCAGGTTTGAGGTCAAGGTTTTGGCGCATGGAAGTTGGAGGTTTCATTCTGGAAAAAGAAGGCCCTAAAACAGCATGGAATAAGGGTAAAATGTTAAATATAGGAATTACAGCTTCCATAGCTCTGGCAGGAGAGAGAAGGAAGTGACTCAGGGGAGACTGAAATCAGAGGAAAGGTCCAGAGCCACCTCCACTTGAGGCTGAGGCAAGTGGAAAACTCAAACTTTGCAGTGACTATCAAAAGCCAGGCACTTATCTTCCCCCAGGGAGGCCTGCACAAAGGGGTCTATTGCCAAGATGTTTAAACAGTTTCATTGGAGCACCTGTCACCTATGCAGACAAGCAGCTAGGCACCTGCTGGGGTCTTAGAAAACGCTGTCAGTCAAAAGCCCCAGCAGCGAAGGAGATGGGATAGACATGCAGGAGGATAGGAGGAAGGACAGGCTGGGGTCCACCGGTGTCCATCACTGCATAGAACTCCACAGCCTCCCACACCAATGGTCTCTGCTTCGCCTCAACCATGCAAGTCTCACTCAAGTGACTTTCATTGCCAAAAAAGATTCAGGGCCATACAGGGATGGAGATTCTTAGAAAAACAGTTCCCAGACTCATTCAGGGGCAGTAATCCCAAAAGGAGAACACAAAACACATCAATGTGCCCCAGTGGTGGCCCACTGTGGGGACAAAGCCCAGATTCTCAGCCTCCTGCCTGTGTCCCAAATCAGCAGATGCCCCCAGGGTAATGGCAGTTGGTACAATGAAGATGTGGCAATCAGAGGATTATGTTGCACAAAGCTTGGAACACAGAACAACATGTGAAGTTTCAAACACAGTCACAGACACAGGGAGAGCAGGGGCCAGAGGAAAGGTCCTGAGCAGGGCCCAGACAAGGCTTCCACCTGTCTGCCAGGACCTACCCTGACTCCACCTACGCAGGATGTTCCATTGGTCACTGAGCCTCTGGCCACACACCTTTCTATTAGGGAACTGAGAACAGGCACACGTTTCTCAGAGCCCTAGAGGCCTGTGAGTAAGAAGCAAGACTACCGTGGAGGTGCAGGCTCTGTCATGATGCCACACTGCCCCTTCAATCTGTGTGTGGAAGGCATTGCCTGAAGGATCCATGGTGCATCCACTGCCTAGATCTGTCTAGCAGGAAGCTGTCCGCAGATGACCAGAAATTATAGGGGCAATGAGGACTGGCCAGGATGCACAGGAGTGTCTACACACCCAACCAAGGACAGACATGAATCAGAGGCCGGAAGGTGCCAAACATCCCTATTCCCTGGAGACACCAGACATGTGTAGACTGACTGTCCCACCTCCCAGAATGTCTGGCTCTACAAGATGATGCACACCGTCTGGTCACAAGGCTGAGCCTAGTGCCTGTGAGCATGCTCTCAGGACAAGGAGACATAGCAGAGGAAGGGGTACAAGGACTAGGCACAGAGAGAACATACTGGCCCTGCCCCCCAATGGCACTTAAGTATGGTGGCTAATTTGCCACGTGTCAAAAAGACAAAGAGGTACTTACGAATAGAGACTGTCAAACAGCGCCTTATTTCATATGGACATTCCCTAATGTTGGGACAATTGAAGTCATTTATGGCTGCACAGTCATGGCATCTCAAACTATAGGTCCCTGAGAGAGGAGAGAGCAGGCATCTGGCTTCTGCTCCAACAAGCCTTTTCTACCCATTTCCAACCCAGCCACCCTCCAACAGCAGGCCCCACCCCCCACCTCCAAGGACCTCCCCAAGCCTGCACAGCTCAGCCCTCTGGCCTAGACTAGCTCCCAGGAGAGAAGCCACTCACAACCAGGAGCTTTCCCTATTCTCAGAAACAGGCTCAAGGGAACACCTCCAGGCCACTGCATGTGCAACTGCTATGCTCTGCAGACCAGGCCGACCCCTCCAGGGAAAACATGACACTCGTAAGAAGCCAGTGTCCACCTGATTTCCCTGGACACAGCCACTCCTGCCCATTTTTGACCGGGAAGCACCACATCAAGATGCCCCCACTTGGAAAAGCTGCTCTATTGGGAAAGCTCTCCTTCCTCATGACTATTTCCCTTGCTCATGAACACTTCCCAAGCTGACTTCCTGCCACCCACCCCCAACCTCCCCCAGTGATTCCAACAATGCAGACCCCAGCTTGCTAAGATGATCCAAATTCCAGTCAATGCTTCCAGGGACCCCAGTCAATTCTAGGTGAGGACTCATACCCTCCAAGACAAGAGGAGGGAATGATACTTACAACGGCGTGGAAGATCAGCGGTGACATTGGTGACAGTGGCATTCACCACTGGGAGACCCAAGGCAAGAAGTAAGGCAAGTGGGAGCACCATCTTGTGCAGGAGCTTGAGCCTGAAGTGAGGAGAGACCTCCCCCAGTGATTCCAACAATGCAGACCCCAGCTGGCTAAGATGATCCAAATTCCAGTCAATCCTTCCAGTGACCCCAGGCATTCCAGGTGAGGACTCATAGCCTCCAAGACAAGAGGAGGTTATGATACTTACAACGTTGGCGTGGAAGATCAGCGGTGACATTGGTGACAGTGGCATTCACCACTGGGAGACCCAAGGCAAGAAGTAAGGCAAGTGGGAGCACCATCTTGTGCAGGAGCTTGAGCCTGAAGTGAGGAGACACAGACAGCACCTCAGTGACAGCACGGTCCTCGCACCAGCTTCCTGCCCCTGAGCACCAACTAGCACGTGTCTCCCCTAGCCTGCCCTCCTGGGGTCAGGGACCGGGGTCTGGGAGCTCTTTCCACACACAAGCCTCTTCCATGCCCATGGCTGCATCTCAGAAAAACTCACCATCACTTCTCGAGTCAGGGAGGGCCTGGGGCTGCTTCACGTGGATGCTCTCCCCTGGTCCCCACACCCCCAACACTACTCTGTATCTACTGGTTGACTCTGGACCTCAGAAGCAAGTTGTGAAGCTATCTTCAAAACTGCCCACTGAGGTGTGCTACAATTTTCATGCTCCCTCCACTTCTGTTGAAATTCAGCTGTCAATGCAACAGTTTGGGAGGTTAGGAGATGAGGGCTCCACCCTCC